CATGATTTTTCAGGATGCTAGAAATATAAGCCCTACCCCAAAATTAAACCTCAGTCAAGATCATCAGCCAGATGGATGCATTTAGTACATTAATATTTAACATACATAATAATATAAATTATAATTAAGTATTTGTAAATACCCAAGAGGGCGCCTTTGGATGAAAGGTAAACACCTATGTAAACAGATGAACTTGAGACTTATTGCTGAATGACCAGAGTACAGACACAATGGACGAATAACATGTGCATTTGATAATGAACAGACTTGTTTCATAATTCAATACATCACGTGTTGTAATGGACGTATTTAATCCACTCATGTGTTACCACTCCTGTCTCCTAAGTCTTCAGTTAACACTTGATTTAATGGTAGATTTAAAGGGAATAATATTTTGACCCCCCCCCCCGATGAGTGCAAAAAGAGAGAGCTATTCTGTCGAATACAAGAAAGGAATCATGGAGGACTCTCGGACAAGAATCTTACAGCTTTTGTAAGAAAAAAATAAGGCATCACCTGAAAATAAGCCCTAATGCATCTTTTGGAGCAAAAGTTAATGTAAGACCCAGTGTTATTTTGGGGGAAACATGGTAGGGATAGTTTGACCAAAGCTAGTTACATGTGAGGAGGAAGGAAGAGGAGGGTTCAAAAGCCCTCCTGGTCAAGTAAAAGGAGTTTACTGGCCAGCAACATGATATCTGAACTGGGCTATTGTCTCAGGTATTCCACCAGTTCTCCAGGCTTTGGAATACTACTATACATTTTTGCACTAGTAGCTTTCCAGCCTTTTATTTAAATATACTCTGGTAGTAGCTCCAAGATTCTTTCTGTCCCTTCACACATCTTGTTGAAGAGGGTGAAAATGCATGCGTATGTTAAGAAGTTAAATAAAAGGGGCAGGGGATATTAAATTTCTTTTTTTTCTGTAAGTCTTTACTTTCTTCTAAGAAAAAGTTCCTAAAGAAATTCTAAAGGAAAGAAACTGTTACATATAACAGATCATTCAACATCTAAGCTGCTCTACCATTGATTCACATTGTAAATATTTCCTAACTTACAGGAAAAACATCATTCAGTCAACAAAAATGGAACACAAAATGTTATAAACCAATGCAGTCATCCTATTAATTGCATCCTCAATAATCAGAAGCCCCAAATTTCATCAAGTGATGATCAACCAATGTAGGATAGGAAGAGAGTAGAAGTGATATTTTATTTCACCTCATGAGGATGGGAAAAACTTTGGAAATGCTCTAGCAAGCTTTGTTCGGAAGACTTTAAACTGAGCTGAGGGGGGGTCAGGCCCCCCAGAAACTTGTCCACACTGGACAAGTGAGGGGAGAGGATCAGGACTCTGGGACCAGGGTGTTAGAGGTAGTGCATGAGCTGACAGGACTCCTACGAGGAGGGGGCCTGTATCAGGGAAGATGGGAGGAAGGAGGAGGCTAGGGATTCTAAAGAAAGAAAGCTGTGGGAAGGAGTTAAGGTGCATGTACAGCAATGCTAGGAGCATGGGGAAGAAGCAGGAAGAGCTTAAAGCTCTCCTGGGAATAGGAGGGTATGGTGACCAGTGACAAGCGGGGTCCCCCAGGACACTGTCCTGGGGCCAATCCTGTTTAATCTTTTCATCAACGCCCTGGAATAAGGGGTGAACAGTCTGCTATCAAATTCGCAGACAATACTTAAACTGGGGCAGTGGCCACCAATGAGGAGCAGGTACTCCAGATCCAAAAGGATCTGGACTGACTATGGAAGTGGGCAGAAGGCAACAGGATGGCATTCAATGTGGGTAAGTGCAAGGTCTTGCACTTGGGGCATAGGAATGGGTGTCATAAGTAAAGGTTAGGGGACAAGTAGCTGGAAAGCAGCACTTGTGAAAGGGATCTCGGGGTGCTGGTTGACTGCAGGCTAAACATGAGTCAGCAGTGTGATGCGGTGGTCAAGAGGGCAAACACCACCCTTGGTTGCATAGCCAGAAGTGTGGCTTCTAGATCGAGAGAGGTATTGTTGCCACTCTATACGACTCTGGTACACCCGCAACTGGAGTATTGTGCTCAATTTTGGGCCCCTCATTACTGGAAGTATAGCCAGGTTAGAGTCAGTGCAGCTTAGGGCCACAAGGTTGGTGGCCGGTTTGCAGGGAAAGCCATATGAGGCAAGACTGAGGGAACTGGGTCTCTTCAGCCTGGAGAAAAGGAGACTCAGAGGGGATCTGTTGGCGACATACAGGTATGTGAGGGGATGTCACACGGAGATGGGTAGAGACCTGTTCTCCCCTGCAGAGGAGGGCAGGACGTGCTCCAGCAGAGCAAAGCTCAGGGAACCAAGGTTTAATTTGGATGCCAGGAAGTACTTCCTGACAGTTAGGATGCTGAGGGTATGGAATGGGCTTCCATGGGAGGTGGTTGAGACCCCATTGGTGATATGGATAGACATGCATATGGTAGGCATGTCATGAGCGGAGCTGGCTAGAGCTGGGAGTCAGATTAGATGACTCAGGAGACCCCTTCTGCCTTGTGCTGTTTCTATGTTTCTACTCAGATGTCAGAAATATTAAGAGTCTGCCTGTGCCTATAGTGCCAAATCTTTCTCTCTTCTACTTACAAAATCCTGTCCTGGGGGGCGGGGGGGAGGGGAGGCACACCCAACAACAAACTAAGGCTTCAAATTGTCAATGGCTTTTCAAGTGCAAACTAAAATTTCCAAACCCTCTGAAACAGATATGAAAGACCAAGGAAAGAAGCAGCTTGCATCTGTGTAAGTTAAAATTATATAATTTCTCTGTAGTGTCTAGCCAAAGGGCCCTTGCTCAGAGAATAGAGCAGCTCTAGCTGTGTTTCATAAATAGTTTGAATGACGTCGTTAGTGTCATGGTTACAACATTGCTGCAGAAAGCATTGATCATGCTTCTTGCCACTGATATAACAGGTCATTCTAAGCGGCGTAGCTGTTTGCAAATCCCTTTTTATTGTAAAATAAGAAACATTTCTCCCTTGCAGGAACAAAGAATTTGATCTCTAGATAGATAGATAGATAGATAGATAGATAGATAGATAGATAGATAGAAGCACATTCTAGTGTTGGTCTTGTATTACTGTTCAACATAAGAAACAAATGAGTACTGAGCTTGAACCAATATATCCACAAATATACAATTAGAAATTTATGAACATCATCAAAATTCCTTTTTCTACATTTTTTTTTTTAGGTAATTTACATTGCCAGAAAAAATGTTGCAGCCACAATTAGTGATTTGGAAAAGCAAACAACTGCAAACACTTGCAGCAAGTGAAGATACTTTTAAGAGACCATCTCCTGTATATAAATACAGAATTATTACATAGCTTCTTTTCATAAGTTACTGTAATCAAAAGGTCTTTAAGGGGGAACATCTTTCTGAAACTGATTTCATATTGGTTCTGCAGGAGTGTACCTTGTAAAAAATAAATTTAATAAATCATCTCCTATGTCAATACATAATTATCAAATACTGGCAATTCAATGTATTTTGTAAACAAGAAAAACTACAAACAACAAAAGAATAAGTTTATGAGCTAGTCATGCTAAGCCACAGTGGGTTGCCGCCATGGGTGAATGTAGGGGGGCTTAGTGTCGTGCTTCCATCCGAGGGTTCTCCTGCAACCCTTCAAGTCCTCCATAGTTTATAGCAGGGTTGTCGTGACAGTCAAGCCTCTGTGTGTGTGTTGCTAAAAGAGAGCTGCCCAGGAGGAATTGTTATTTAAAAAAACCAAAAAAACCCTTCCAGCCACATCTTGTGATCTTGCTAATGATAGCTCCTCTTTCTTACAACTTGAAATGATACTAGTCAATTTACTCCTCCACTTCATCACCTTCCTAGACAGCAACACCTGCACACATTTAACTTTTTTCACCTTCAAAAGATCTGCACATAGTTACCATTAATTTTTTATTCACTTTGGGGAACTTCATGCATATTTGATGTTATTTTTTCACCTTCAGGCTGAAAAAATTCAGGACATCAGGAAAAGCTTCCTCACTGACACAGCAATACAACAGTGGAACCACCTGCCTAGAACAGTGGAACCATGGGCTCTCCCACTGTAGAGACATTCAAAAAGAAACTGGACAGCCATCTGAGTGGGATGGTGTAACATGGTGTCCTGCAACAGGAGGGGGTTGGACTTGATGGCCTTCATGGCCCCTTCCAACTCTTCTATGATTTTATGATTCTGATTTGCCAGTAGTCCATCTTCCAGGAACCTTTGCTTGTGGCCCCAGAATCCAAATCTCTCTTTATTGCCCCACCATCGTAGCCAGTCAGTCATTTGAAGGATTTTTCTTTCCATAACAGTTCCTCTTCCACATAGTGGTAGGATCAAGGAGAAGAATACCTGGCCCCCCAGTGTTTTTTATTTTCCTTTGAAGTCTGATGTTATTTCAGCAAAACTTCTCATGGCAGTGTTGTTAGTTCCCAGGTGGAAGAGAAGGAAGGGGTATCTGCCAGTGGGTTGTATGAGTTGTGTGAACTTGTGGCACCCAAGAGACAGCATACTTTGCAATTCTCTGGGTCATCATGACAGACATGTTTTCCATCTCGCAGCACTAGCACTCTTCTGCTTTTGGTGTTGCAAACTTTAGTATCTTTAGTATCCTTTTCCTTTCTTGATTGGCCTTTGTCACTTTTTCAGAGTTGCTCAGTGTGTCATGTAATTCTTTCACAGTGGGTTTCTCTCACGCTCCTTCCTCAAATAACTTAAAGCAGTTTGAGAGTTCTGCTTCCACTGGTGCTGCATGTTTTCTAGGTTTTCTGCATCTGTCACCCAGTTCCAGCGAGTTTCCTCATTTTCCTTTCCTCAGGGTTCTCTTCTGCTGCCTCAGCTTACTGATGCTCTTCTTGCTTCTGGACTACACTTACCTGTTGCAGCCACTCCGGTCTGCCTAAAAACTCTTCATTTTCTTTTATTATCTGGACGGTGAACATTCGCTGCTCCAGTGCTCTCACCTTTTCTTGTAGCAGAGCTACTAGCTTGCAAGTGTTGCATGTGAGGGCCATGTTGCTCTCAGGTGAGAAAACAAACATTGCACAGTAGTTGACGGTCATCACCACTGTGGAGTCTCCTTGGTCCATTGTTTGTGGAACCTTAGTGATTCTCTCGTGGGGGGGGGGGGGGAGGATGCAGGCTGTTGTTACAACTGGTGCTTTTGAACGTCTTCACTAAAGGTTAGTGACACAGTCCTACTAGTAAATGGGGGTGTGTTACAAGGAAGTGTGTGTGTGTGTGTGTGTGTGTGTGTATGCGTACATGCACAGGGCAGGGGGGATTAAGGTGAAATACAGAAGGGAAGCAAAGAGAGAAAAAAGGTTGGGAACCTCCCCCACTTAACTCCTGTTTGCTTGCCTTGTTTGCTCACTCTGGTCACTTGTTCCCTGGGAGCTTGGGTGCTAATATCCCAGAGGCCCTAGACCAGCTGGGGCAGCTTGCTCTGGTCTGCTCTGTTCTGCTAGGAGTCAGGAACCAGAATGAATCACCCCATCCACACAACTGCTTTTAGGTAATCAGGTCACTCCCCTTCAGTTAATCAGCAATCAGCTAATGTGGAATTTCTGCTCTACTGAGTCAGGAACCAGAATCAAATGCAAATACCTGCTTAAATGGGCAGCTGAGTCAACTAATTTCATTAGTAATAGGAGCAGGCTCACAGGAAGAAATGGAGGAAGTGGAACAAGAGCATACAAAAAGAAGGAGACAGGATGACAAGGCACCCACCTGCCCCTTTTTGCTCTGTGCTTTCACTGTGGAGACATTCTGGACATGCAGTATATGATTACTAGGCAATGGTTCTACTCCTCCACAATGAGGAAAGACAGGAAATATACAGAGGGCATAACTGGTCCACAATTACAACTGCTTTCTTAAAGGATTCTTTGGACCTCTGAAAAAGTTTCAGTCTTTATATTTCCATTAAAAATTGAGAGAGAAAGTGAAACTGACTGTAATGCACAGGTCAGGAACTTGCAGAGAGCTGCAGGCAAAAAGCATCCATTTTATTCTGTTCAGCATCAATAATTCAATATTAAAACAACTAACTTTGCATCAAAATCTGTTCTCCACTAAAGTGCTCCATCTCTAAATGTTAATCTCAATACACAGAATTGAGTTGTAAAAGATATCAGTGAAATCTGTTAACAAGTTTTCAACTTAACAAAACTACCAAAACAAAGGGAAAGCAGAAATGTCTATAGATTAATTACCTTTTGTATTGCACATGATTGTATAACAAACAGGTTTCAGGATTAATGGAAGTTACTATTATTACCAGTTCGGTAGTATTACAGTTTATGTTGAAAGCATAAAAGGAATATTTGAGCAGCTGAGCTCTTTGAAAGAAAGCAATATTTCCAAGAATTTTAATTAAGTCGATTATATGATTCTGCTTGTGGTACTTGAAGTCCATGTTGCAATGAACACTGCATCTGCTAATGTGTATATATTCCTCTTGTCAGCAGCCAAGAATGAGCAAGAAAACAGCATCCCAAAGGAGTATCCTTAATACTGCACAACCTGTTAGTGTGTAATGAGGAGAGCATCCAGATTTCATTACAAGCATACAGGAAGACCCTCTAATACAGGGGTCCTCAAACTTTTTAAACAGAGGGCTGAACTATAGTTTGAAAAAATATGAATGAATTCCTATGCACACTGCACATTAAAAATAATTAAAATTAAATTATAAAAAATAATTAAAATTAAAAAACAATTAAAAATTAAAAAATGTTTGCTCCACTCACTTGGGCTGCACCAGAAGCCCAAGATGAGGTGGGAAAGAGCATGTTCATATTCAAGGGACATAGCCACAATGTCCACAATCATGCTGAGGGGTGGGGGGGAGAGAGATGGACACAGTCACACTCTTGCAAGGAAGGCGGGCTTGATCGCAGCCATCTCTCCCCTCCCAAGCATGATCGTGACCATCTCCCCACCCCCTCAGCACAATCGTGCAGAGAAAATGTGTGCAATCACGGCCGCGCTCGGGCAGGGAAGGCAGGCATGATTGTGCCACCTCCCCCCCCCCCCCCCCCCCCCGAGCACGATCGCAGCCATCTCTCCTCCCGAGCACAACCACGATAGCACCCACCTTCCCTGCACAAGCACAACCGCAATCGTGGCCATCTCCCCACTGAGTACGCCTGCACTGGCTCAGAGCTTTTGGACTTGCTCAGAGACCATTTCCTCTGAGCAAGTCCAAAAGCTCTGAGGCAGGCCGTAGTTTGAGGACCCATTCACTAATAAGCCAAAAAAAGCAATAGGCTCATTATCAACTGACTGATGTCCATTTAAGCCAAGAAAGCCAGACTTCATACAAAATGGTTCTATAGGTCCAAAGTTGGAAATACCTGTATTATTCCATCCTGCACCAATACTGCATTTTATTTTTTTATACTGGATTCAGAGTGCAATGAATCTAGTTGTCCACCACCCATGGACTCTGAGATTACAAGCATGCTAAGCTGGCCAAACAAAGTGCAGAAACAAGGATCACCTTCACATATCTTGGATTTTGGCTAGCTACATTGGTTGCCTCAAAGATGAAGGAAAGAAGGTTGGAGCGCCACCAGCATACCTCATAACTTGGTGGTGCTTGTCTCCTCCACTGCACACACCTCACAATTTCTAAAGAACACAGAACACAGCCTGCACAGTTCTTTATCTGTGCACGGAAACCCTGCTATGAGAACTAGTTCAAAGCTGAGTCTCAGAAAAAAATATAGGGCTATCTAGACATTGTCTACTTTCTGCTTTCCATTATTAATGCATGTGTATCCATCTCATTTGCAATTACTTAGTTTCTGAAGTTATGTTCTGAATCATTGTAAGTGCACTGGATGAAGTAATAAATAAAATAATATCTATTATGCAGGTGGAAACAGATAAGTTATTTGCAATAATTAGCTCTTAGACCTAAGACTATTATTATCTAGCCCCACCACCCCTCACCCCGCCAATCTGCTGCCATCGGGCCAGGGACACTGCCACCTCTGTCTGCGCCACCGGCAAGGCCTCTGCAGGCCCCACCGTCACTTCCTTCGCCTCCCTGCACAGGTGGAGGGTGATTGTGGGGGAGTGGCCACAGTGGAGCCCTTTTCTTGCCAGCCGCAGCCAAAGGGTGATGCCCAAAGGGAATAGAGTTGTTTGGGGCTGTTCAGGCCGTGAGATTCTGTCTGGGGTGTTTTGGGGTTTTTTTGTTTTGTTTTGTTTTTTGGTATTTTGAATTATATCTGCAACTATGTTTTATTGTTTAAGGTTTTACCTTAAAATGGGAGCGTGTGGGTACCACCATTGGGGTGGAAATGGGCAGGGAAAGATATGGCATTTGGGGTTTAACACATCATCACAGAAGAAGGAGAGACTGTTTGTTATTGGTCTCCTCTTCTGGTTATTCCCCCAACCAGATGGTTCATGGCCGTTATAACCACCCCTCGGGCCTGACAGTGCTGCTATTGAATGTCAGGTCAGTCCATAATAAAACATCCCTCATCCATGACTTAATTGTAGATGAAGGGGCCGACCTGGTGAGTATTACAGAGGCATGGGCGGGAGAAGGGGGGATGTCTCCCTTACCCAACTATGCCCACTCAGGAATCTGGTGCAGCACCAGCCATGCCCAGATGGAAGGTGGGGTCGTCCTGGTTTATCAAGACTCAATCTCCCTTCTGGGGCTCCCTGTCCTCTCAAGGCTGGGTCTAGAGTGTTTGTACCTGGCATTTGAGGCATGTCTTATACACCCTGCTCCTCTTACCAATGACTTTCTGTGCATATCATTCAGGATATTGCAGATGGAGCTAGCAACACCTTTGCACAGCAGCCTTCTGCACCCACAAATTCTAAATCATAAAGAAAGGGGACTTTCTTATTTACTAATAGTTCTTGGAGTATGGGTCCTTATGAAGAGAAAATGGTAACATCCATGTACAAGGAGGAGGTATTGGTAGACTTGGGGCAATTACATAACGGCAAAGTATTTTTAGGGACAGAGATCCTAAGGAGAGGAACAGTAGCCATGAAATATTGGCTGATCATTGGTATGGATAGGTAAACTGAGGGGAGTGGAAATAGAAGTGGAGTATCCTGATAAAGTGCTCCCTGAGTGGAACTAAGAACAGGAACGCTGCATGTTGCAATGTCTTGTTTCAGGTCCTACTTTTTGCTGAGTGTATATTCTGTAAAATGCTCAAGGAGCAGATATAGCTTCGTTAAAAAAGTTTGGAATACTATGTACAGCTGCTCACTTTGAAGTTCACCTTTTCAGATGGTTCACTGGGCCAAGCTGCTACAGCCAGCCAAAGGATACTTGTTCTCAGAAAGTTTTTTATCTAGGCATTCATTTTCCACATGTGTGGTTCATAGAAAAAATATGTAATATACATGGTGAAATTGTCACACAAAACATAGATTTTCACAGGTTTGAGGAATACAACACTGGAGTTGAATTTTCCTTGTATTCTTCAGTCATATTTGGTTAGCTTCATTTCAAGTATCTTATTACACACACACACATGCAAGGTCTATGGCTTCTTTCAAATAACAGATGCTAACTGATACACTGGGGTCCTTTTGCTACCAAATGAAGATCTTATTTTTCCAGGCTTCTTAGTTCTGCAATTTTAAACATTATCTTTATGTGTCTAGATCTTTGGACTGCTGCTGAAATCTTGTACTCCCCCTAAAGGACAGGGTGCGCAGCTTGGGAGTGCTCCTTGACCCTGATCTGTCCCTGAAGCATAAGGTACTGGCAGTGGCGAGGAGCACTTTCCTTCAGCTTTGGCTGATACATCAGCTGCATCCTTACCTGGATGAGCAGTGCCTGGCAACGGTGACCCATGCACTGGTAACCTCCTACTTGGACTATTGCAAATTGAAACTTGGTTCCCTGAGCTTTGCTCCATTAGAATGTGTCCTGCCCTCCTCCTCAGGGGAAAACAGGTCCCAACATACATCCGTATGACATCCCCTCATGTACCTATATGTCGCCAACAGATCCCCTCAGAGTCTCATCTTCTCCAGGCTGAAAAGACCCAGTTCCCTCAGTCTTGCCTTATATGGCTTCCCCTGCAATAAATTCTTATGGCCCTACCCTGCACCAATTCCAACCTGGCTATATCCTTCCTTTAATGTGGAGTCCAGAACTGCACAATACTCCAGTTGCAGGCACATCAGACTCATATAGAGTGGCAGTAATACCTCGATCTAGAAGCCATGCTTCTGGCTATACTTCAAAGGGTGGCATTCACCCTCTTTACTGCTGCATCACTCTGCTGACTCATGTTTAGCCTGCAGTTGAGCAGTACCCAAGATTTCTTTCACAAGTGCTGCTCTCCAGACACTTGTCCCCTAACCTGTATTTATGACACCCATTCCTATGCCCCTAGTGTAAGACCTTGCACTTATATGCACTGAATGCCATCCTGTTGTCCCCTGCCTACTTCCATAGCCTGTCCAGATCCTTCTGGATCTTGAGTTCCTGCTCCTCCGTTGTGGCTACCCCCCTCATTTTAGTATCGTCTGCAAAGTTGAGGAGAAGGCTGGTCACCCGCTCTTCCAGGTCACTGAACATAGAAACATAGAAACACAGAAAACAGAGCGAGTCAGAAGGGGCCTCCCGGGCCATCTAGTCTGACAAACGGCACCAGCCGGCTCCGCTCACGACATGCCCACCATGTGGATGTCCAGCCTATCCTTGAACACCCGCACCGATGGGGCCTCAACCACCTCCCGGGGAAGCCCATTCCACACCCTCGGGGTCCTGACTGTCAGGAAGTGCTTCCTGGCATCCAAATGGAACCTTGGCTCCTTGAACTTTGCTCCGTTGGAGGGCGTCCTGCCTTCCTCTGCAGGGGAGAACAGGTCTCTACCCATCTCCATGTGACATCCCCTCACATACCTGTACGTTGCCAACATATCTCCTCTGAGTCTCCTCTTCTCCAGGCTGAAGAGACCCAGTTCCCTCAGTCTCACCTCATACGGCATCCCGTGGAAACCGGCCACCAACCTTGTGGCCCTACGCTGCACTGACTCCAACCTGACTATATCCTTTCTGTAACGAGGGGCCCAAAACTGAACACAATACTCCAGTTGCGGGCGCACCAGAGTCGTATAGAGTGGCAACAATACCTCTCTCGATCTAGAAGTCACACTTCTGGCTATGCAACCAAGGGTGGCGTTCACCCTCTTGACCACCGCATCACACTGCTGACTCATGTTTAGCCTGCAGTCAACCAGCACCCCGAGGTCCCTTTCACAAGTGCTACACTCCAGCCACTTATCACCTAACCTGTACTTATG